ATTAAAAAGATTTATAAATATGATTAATTAATTTTAATTAATTTTAATTAATGATAAATTAATCATTTAATTAAATCAATTATCTTAGTTAGTTAATTTAAGTCCTTAATTTCCGGAAAAATTATCTTTCCTTGTTTCAATTTTACCCAGAACTTTCAAGATTAAACAATTTGGTCCATGGGTCAACTCTTTTCAAATTAGTCCTTTATGTCTTGAATTTAATCAAATTAGTCCCCTTAATTTTTACTTGTGTTCATTGTGCATGCATGTCTTTGATTTTTGTCCATTTTTAGCCCAAAAATATAAAAATGTCACAATTTGGTCTATCCTTTTTTCAGGCTTGCCTATTAAGACTCAAACATAAACATGATGAATAAGTTGAATCAAAACCCCCCAATGTTAAAGTTTGCAACCGTGTTTAAACGGAGGATTGTAAGGTGCACGTATGCCCTTCCTCACTACCAATCGAACCCCCGAACCCCAATCTCTGCGCAGACCTATTTTAGGTGACTTGTCCCACCTTATAATTTGGACGAGTGGCGACTCCCCTTTTTCTTTTATATTTTCACACTTGATTTTTCATTTATTTTGAAAAAAAAAATCTTAAGTGGTCGTCAACAATTCTCATGCAATGAACCTAACCTAATTGATTTGCCATATGAGAGATTAGTGATGGGATGAAAGAGAAAGGAGACCGAGGCACAAAGAAAAGATGAAGAGGGCACCAATGAAGGGAGAGGGAAGAGATCATTGATGCCAAAGAAGAGATAAGGAGAAAGATATCCCTGGTGTCAAAAAAGAAGAGTAAAGAGAAAGAAAGGAAGAAGAAGCTGAAGTGGGGGAAGAAGGCAAGGATGGATAGTTTTGTAATTAAACTCAATTAGGTTTTAGTGTTTAGTTGATAAGAGTATTAAAATTTTACATCATTGCTTTAATTGTTAAAGTATAGACATGCACATGTAAAAGCCATAATAAGCCAACCAAAAAAAAAAAGAATTCTATCTAATATTTAAAATTAAAAAGCATGAATTCGTGGCAAATTAACATCACAACCGAACAATTCTATTGACGAAAGGACCAATTTAGTAAGACGAAAAATAAGGTTTAAAGACAATTTGGTAATTTTCAAGGTTCAGGGACCAACTTGGTCTAAAACTCAAAGTTCAGATACCAAAATGGTGATTTTAACCTTCTCGTTTTCCTCTTCCTTTGTCATCTTTTATGAATTCCCGTCTTCCGTCCTATTTCAATTTCCATCCCTATTTTTCTCTCCTGGAAAACGCAGTAGCTGCCATCGGAGACTCTCCGGCAAATTTCTCTCTATTTCCTCAACGTTCGAAATCTCTCCCAGATTTTTCGTTCGATTCCGCAAGACTTCTGTTCTCCTCATCGCCGCTCCTCAACTCAATCACAGAAGTCAAGGCCGATCGTCGTAAATGAGGGCAAGGAGAGGATCTCGACTTTGATTGAGGGCTGCGTGTCAAATTTTCTGGAGGAAAGAAAGCTTTTAGTCTCTTTTTAATCCGTATCCTCGGTAACCAAACTTAAGACATCTTTTGATTGAGTTTTAACCCTTAATTATGCAGGAAATTAAGGTGTATTCGGGGTTGAGGTAGGGGATTTTTTCTTGTAATTTTTTTGGATTAATTTTTTCAAAAATTATAAAATTGTAACAGTTTTTTTGTTATTTTTTTGAAAAATTATAAAAAGTTATAACAAGTTGACAGCAATTTTAAGATGGGTTGAAAATTGCGGTTAGAGGTTTTGTCTATAATGAAACAATACTTTTAAGTATTTGTATATTTGATAATTTTT